CCTAAACATGCCTTTGTTGGGCCAAACCAGATCGAGCCAGATGGATCCATCTTCTAACCTTATTTCTCAACTCTCTAGAATTGCTTGTCTTTCAAGCTTATCTCAACACAAGTTACCGAAGACTCGAGAAGAATACAAAAAATGTAGCGGCGGACAAGGAAAGATTGCATCAAAAGTGACTATGGACCAATACTTCCCTCTTCTTTACTTAATCTGCCGCCGCTTTCTTGGTACATTCGTGGGATCACCATCAAGACCACCAAGGATCTGGTCGACGATTTACGAAATATAAGTACCACGATCCGAACACCCAGAATCTGATATCGATCCGGTTATATCATTTTGATGGAACCATTAATTAGTCTTATTTTAAATCCGCATTTAAAAATTGATATATATAAATCCTGAAAGTTCTTTGGTCTATAATTTTTCTTAGTGTCCGAGATCAGCCGTTGATAATACCGTGTTTAATGTGTAAATCACTGATCTATAATAGAATCGAACTAGAGAATTCACTGATCTATAAATTCTGAATAACAATTCTTATAAAAACGTCAAGCAACAAACATGAGAAACACCAATATAAATTGTTATATACACACAAATATAGATTATAAGTTGTAACTTATTTTTGGTGGTAGCCAGTGGGATAACACAAAAGATTGGTTCTCCAAGTTCAATTTTCCATTTGGATGAAATGTTATTTTTTAAATGTATCAAAGAGATTGTGGGCCAGAGATAATTTTAACTTACATTCTTATAATATCTAGGGAATTCTTTTGATTCAAGTCGATTTTTATGTTCATGAGGCTAAGAAGAGAATTATATTTGTCTACGTAGCCAAATTTGGCACCAGGACATGTTGTGTTGAGATTGTTTCGCATGTAACTTTTTGTTGGATATATTGTATTCAGCAGATTAGATCTGCAAAGATTGAACATAATTTCTTTAAATTTCCAACCATATTTTTTTTGTTCCCGAGCAACTTAATTAGCGGTAGTAAACCAAGATCCGTACATTTCCTCGCATCTTCAAATAGCCAAAAAAGAAAGAAACTAAATAAAGTAATTAGTTTGGCATCAACAAAAAGTAATTATTTTTTGAAAAATATAAGAGGTAATTAGCTTTTGAGGATTGGTGACAATTGTGTGTTTTGTAGTGAGCACATGGAGAGTATTAATCACTTGCTATTCTAGTGTAGACTCTTTAAAGAGGTATTGGAACTCTCTCGAGCTAGCAGATTCACAAGAGATAATCAGGCATCATAAGACACTGAAGGCAACATATCACTTCTTTCAAATATCTCTAATGCTAATGATCCTATGGCATTATTTCCTTATCTTGGTTAGAGAATTTGGAAGACAATAAATGATCTTATTTTCCAAAATAAGAAGCTCTATTCCAGAAGTTATAAACAAAGCTATGGTGAATCAAAAACTATGGCTGGATGCAAGTTGTGTGAATGAAAACATGAATGGACTTTGATACTTTGTTGGTTTGAATCTTGATAACAAACCAGGAGTATAAAATAAATTGAGAGGAAAGTACACCAAAGACGATGATGGAATCTATCTGCAAAGCTAATGAACTTTGTTGGTTTGTAGATGCATCTTGGATTTATGCAGAACACAAAGCTGAAATTGGATAGATTGTAATGTGCCAAGAAGGTAAATTAATACTTCAAGGATCCTCTTCAATTCAACCCACGGAAATGCAATAGAAACAAAAGCATATGCAC